ACCAATAGGAGCGGAGCACCAATGAAGAAGGTTTCAAAAACTGAGAAAATTTATTACTATTGAGAGACGCAGACGAAGTTGCGCGGGTCAGCTAGTAGAGTATAAACTCGGAGAGTTCAACCACGCGCTTTTTAAGGATAAATCAACATTTATCTTGACTTGAATGTCATCGAATTTCTTTCTTGCTGTAAAAAGATTCCATTGGTCGGTCCATCTTGTTGGGGCACGACTGATTGGTGGATATACAATTATAGTAATATGTGACCCATCATGATCAATAGCCTTTAATAGTCCACTGCTGGACATAGGGACATAGGGGAACATCCTTAGATAGGAAGTTTTGGGCTACTATACCACGCTGGCCAGACGGGTTGGTATGGGGTTTGTGTCAAGTTCTCCTTTTCTTTTTGCAGTGCTGTTGTCCTGAGTAGTTTGTTCTCTTAGTCGGGTCTTAGACACCCACGGGTTGTAAGTATTGTTCTGAGATACTGGGTAATATTTCCATTATTCTAAATATTAATAACTTTGTAATTATATCTAGTAATATTAATTTTATTGTGATCATAACTTTTAAAGACTACTAAAAGCTTTTATTTCTTGTCTATCTTTGATTTAATTTTCTTATTGTTAATTTTGAGTGTTTAATCTGATATTACAGTAATAAATATATAATTATCTTTGTTAGGATTATGGCCGCAATTTATTTTGTTTCATAAAATGTGGAACTAAGTTTCTTTAACAATTACTTAGAAATAATAATAAACATTTTAAGAAACCATTGCTTTCTCTGTGAATTCTCATTAGAGTAGGGGGAGGGTACTTTAGAAATGATTTAAACAGGCCTTATTTCAATTTTTCTTAGAATTTCAAGCTCTATTGTATAAGAATAGCACAAGTCAAATATCATAAATAAAAAACTTAAATTAAAAAGTTAATTGAAATATCAAAAACCCGACGGCGTAAAAATCTAATTGCTCTTCGAAACTTAAAAAAAAACATTCACAAATTTCATAGTTAAATTAAATCTTTTTATTCATTTATTCGGGGATACAATTGATTAGTTTCCTGACCTTTTTGGGGATTAAAAGTAAACTTAGATATGTTTTTAGGCACTTAGATTACGTTGGAGACTTGTCAATTTTACTAGAAAGAGATTATCTGGCAATCGAATTTGACAGTTAAAACATCTTGTTAGAGTAGTATAGAATTAAAACTAGAAACAAGCCGTTTTTCTACATAAGGAAACCCCTTAGGGCCGTGCCAACCCGTCTGTCCAGCGTGATACAGTAGGCCAAAAACTCCTTTCCAAGGAGAGGCCTATATCCAGCAGTGGACTGTTAAAGGCTGATACTGATAAAGATGCGTATAACTTCACCTGTTCTAGACATTTGTACCGTCACGGGTTAAATACTGGACCCTAGTTATGAAGCCGTTTCACACAATTTTTTACTTTATAGCACCTGCTTTTGAATATTTTAGCTTTCAACACCTGTTCTATATATGAACATTAAAATATAGTATAGTAAACCTCATTTCTAATTAGAGGATTAATTCCCAGCAGTGGACTATTAGGCGGTTGATGTCATGTGTAATGTGAAGCATTAAATATTCCAAACATGATATACCTACTTTCACGCGGTAGATTTGTTTAGTAAGAAGTACAAAGAATTTTATTTACATTTTAATGTTTAGATAGAGAATATTAGCTATTTAAGAGTTCGCTTACTTAAGTGAAAAATGAAATTGCTTATAAAGTTTGTATATTCAAACTCTAACGTTCAAATATTACATGAGATGTTCATTTCATTGCTATTTCTATGTTAAGATCGAAAGTTACTGCCTTACTGATGCTATCCTGACGGGCCTATATGTCTGGTGGTTAGTGACCCTGACTGCTACGCCAGAGGTCGTGTATTCGATTCCCACCCAGGACAAATGATTGTGTAATGAGCACGATCATTTGTTCTGTGTTTGAGTGTAATTTATCTATAATATGTATGTATTTATAAATATATAAGTATGTTTATCAGCGGTCTGGTTATCATAGTACAGGCTCTGCTTAGTTTGGGATCAGACAGCCGTGTGTGGGATGTGTGAGATTATTATTATTATTCTAGTATTAACCCACTTTCGCTTTAGTTTTCTTGACTTATTTGTACATTATCTTTTGTATTGTGTGTAGATAACGGGTATCTGGTTTAGCAGTATTACTAACGACGAGGCCAATACATACAGTGAAACATAAAACCTCTTCCTTTTTGAAGTCGGTTAAAAAAGAACCATTGTCCAGGCAAGTCAATTATACTTTCAAGACGATTCAAATCTAAATTGAAGTGAGAGCTTTCATTTAGCGTTTAAACATCAAAATTGTGTAAAAGTTCTAATTTTTGATTAGGTGTCACTTTTAACACATCTTTGTAAGTCATTTTGCACTTTTTCTAAAAGCAAATGTCCCAAAACCGATCTAAAAAAAAAGAAAAGGTTTGCAATTCCACTGCATCTTTTTGACATATACAAACATTTATACACCTAAAATTAAAATCCTATTTCTAATAAAACTGTCCACTGCTGGACAAAAGCCTCTCCTTTATTACTTTTTTGTTTTTTTTTGTTCAATTTGTCCTTCTCTTTGCAGTGCTGTTGTTCTGCGTAGTTTGCTCCTATAGTCGGTTTTTACGAAATCCATGGGATGAATAGGGGGGAATAATTGACACTCCGTATTCTTAATCAGTCACCATACGGCCCTAAAATGCTATTACAACCTACAATTACCGCCTTCATGCTCTGTTTCGTTTCAAACAGCAAGTTGTATATAATGGTGAGGTACATCTAAACAAAATAGAAATAATGATTCAAAGAAACACTAGTCATCCTCGTTTTGCACTCAACGATATCGGTAACAGAGGGTTTCTTTTAACATTTACGGGGAAAAAAAAACAATGTATATAATTTAACCTCAATATTTTTTATCTATCTACTGGTACTTTATTATTTCCACGCACGCATTATTCATTGCTATAAATTGTTTTATTATAAAATGTTAGCGCTGAGTTAAAATTTTAACGCGTACATTTTAATAGGTATTTACTAGTTGTTTCGAAAAAACAATTAAGATTGTTATCTAGTAACTTGGAAATTATCCTCAAATTTTATTTTTTAATAATTAACTTTAAAACGTATTACCGACTTCAATACGACTACAAAAAAAATGATTATATTGCTTGAATAAAGTGCATTCTTCTGAATTTTCCACCCTTAGCGGTAATATTTAGTACCCTATACTGCCCGCTTTTTATACAAATTATTATTTAAATGACGGAGTTTTTTAGTTACAAACCAAAAAAAAAGTTGTGCCGAGTTAAGAACCCTTTTTTTAAGTCGTTTAAAAAAGTATCAAAAATTGTATCTTGCTTCAACGAACAAACTGTCATACGACAACAAAAGAAAGTGACTTTACCAACCCCCTGACTAAAAAAACCCTTGTTTTAAAATGTCACTGTATTTTAAGGTGACATTTAGGGAGTTTCCGCTCGCTTTGCTCGGTACGGGCCGTTCAAAATCAAAGGTGTGCTCACGTGAAGTGTTCAAAGGAACGATATTAAATTGTAGACTACAGACTACTGAAAACAGAGCATTCGAAGTCAAAGCAGGATACCTAGAATTTTAATTGGATGAACGGTACTAGTAATTGGAAAACTGTCTTTTTTTTCAGCACGATAATATGACCTCAACCCGTCTTATAATAAACGAGATTTAAGTTTAAAGGCAGATAGATTATAGATTGTAAATATTCAACGTCCTGACACAAGCAGACATTATGTAAATAATCCACAAAATAGCGATTTATTGTAAGCAACCTTTGGATAAATTGCAATAAAGCAAAAGTACTACCCAAGTGTAACATTACTTGCCAAAATCTACATAAATGCTAACTAAATCACAAGCAAAGCTATTATATACCTAGTAAATTGTAAAGAATACTCGTAATTGTTAAAACTAACAGTGTTAGTGACGACCTAATACCCCCTTGTACAATCTATTTCTAGTTTAATGCGGCGATTTCCACTACAGTTTCAAACCCGTGGGTAAACTTGGTATTAAGTTAAGCACATTATGTGCGCACTTGATGAGTGAAGGGACGCATTTTATGGCGTCTAACACTAAATTGCTTGGTAATAAAGCCGTACAACGGCTCTTATATCGAAAACCTAACAAAGTAAAGGTGCCTGTACACCGGGCTTGACTTTTATTATCTTCTCTATACACTAACAACTATCTAAGTTAATCTTTTTTTTTTTTTTTTTAAAAGACAACGCCCGCATTAGGAATAAATCCTGTGTCGCGGGGGACTTTACAAACATACATGAAACGGACACAAAGAACACCACGACTCAGAACAACAATCACACAAAGTGTCGTTCCATGTGGGGTTTGAACCCACAACACTCGGCGTAGTAGGAAGCGGCGTGGCGACCGCTTAAACCACTACGCCATCCGTGCAGTCACTTGGAAAGTAATTTTAACGTACTTCTAATTGTGGTGTCGAAACGAAACTTTTGTATGTACACAAAGTAATTTGGATGACAATATTATAAATATGAATCTTAGGACTATGATGGAAAGTGATGGTGGTATCGGTCCCCAAATACCGCAGACGATAACCCGTTCCACAGATTAATAATTAAGTGTTAATTCTGGAAAACGAACCAACAGTAAGTCAGCAAATATCTTTGAAGCGATATATGATACGCAATGAGCTATATATATATGTAAATATAAATGTTAAGTTGCTTTGTGTACGCTTCAAGAACTCAAAAGCATCTGCACCGATTCAGCTCAAATTTTGACACAAAATACAACACGCTTTAAAGATATTTTTATGTATTTTTTGCAACCACGATGTGCCACAGCATAGCATGGCAGGGTACAGCTAGTTTATATTTAATTTGGTATAAAAACAAGGGTGCTGAATTCCCAGGCTAGCCAGTGATACTTCAAAGATGTTTTACACAGTGAAAGCTCAACGTAAGTGCAGTTTTATAACACTTGAAAACCTTTACTGATAGCTTCAGTTGAAATGGTTTTCCAGCCTGTTTATTTTAGGGTATGCCAGCCCTAAACGGACCATTAAATTTACTACATTAATGATACCGATATTTCCTTGTACCGTCTTAAGGGATATCTCCAACGATTGCTCCTCGTCTGTGACAATTTCGAAATGAATTAGGCCCATTAATATCTTCAGGGACGAAACTTCCCCAAATTGTTATTGTTCGCCTTTTTCGCAGACATTTCTTTGTAGTGGGCTCACTAAATTTGTTCCGTTAATAAGACCCGACAGTGTCTTTTAAGTGTTAAGTCAATTTTTCTAAGACAGAATTGTGTATTTTTAACCTTTAAAGCCCTAGAAGTCCGATAACAGTATTTTTACAGAACTTCTAAACCGCCTAGTACTACTACTAGTTCAGCTCAGTTCAGTTAGTAGACTTAAAGCCGACCCTAACCTAGTTTGAAAATAAAAGGCTCAAGGGAAGAATAATAAATCCACAACTTTTTATCAGACGACTAATTTTAAGTATTTTTCGCATCGGTGTTTTTATAGCCACGTCTGTGTATTATATATATTTCTGTCTACCCCTACACTTGTAAGTGTAGACAGATATATGTGTTGTATCTCTGCCTACAACTACACCTCTATTTAATGGCGACTTCCAACTATGTAATGTTTTCAAGTGCTACTTTTGTGAATATATTCAATTAACAGAAAAATAAGCTTTTCAACGGAGGATATGTTTTATTTTAATTCTTTTATTTACTTTAATTATAACGGTTTTACCAATTATAATAATTAAAAACAAATATACATCAACACAAAAACATCAACATAAATAAAAATAAAAATCATTCCACCTGCTCACAGAATCGCAATCATACTAACATTAGATTCGGAGATTCATCCGCAAAACAAATTACAGTCGGGATTGAACTAATCACATACAGGAGAGCGTTGAGTGCAGAAAGAGTGGGTGACTCACTGCGCGCCACGGGGCGACATGCTAGTACAGCAAACAACATAATATGAGTCCGGTTGCGAGGGTATATTGGGCACCAAAAAACGACACAACTCATCATGAAAAAGTTCTGTGACACATTTACCTGGCCGTTACCGTAAGCCTGTTAGAGTACATTTATAAGACCGCATCTTAAAACAGAAATTCGCATTTAACCACCCAACTAAGCTAGATTAACTTCCTAGCTTTTATCCCCGTCTTCGGATCAGAAAAGTGCTGACACAGTAAATGTACCAATTAGTACATTTCGAATCCAATAAATTACAGAATGATTCAAGTAACGATTCCTCGTTACTTGAATCAGTCTGTAATTTTTGCAGTTAGAAAACATTTTCTTTGAAATAAAGCAGAACACGAACTGTAATTACATGGCGGCAGTTAGACTCGGTCTAAACGGACAAAGATAAAATTAAACCTGGTTTGTCTTCGAGGAATGTGCACATTGTCTTTTAGTAATAGGTTTCATCATTATCAACAGCCTTTAATAGTCCATTGCTGGACATAGGCTTTTGGACGAAGTTTTGGAGTACTATGCCACGCTGGCCTGACGGGTTGTTATAGGGTTTGTTTTCCTTCTCTTTGCAGTGTTGTGGTCCTGTGTAGTTTACTCCATTAGTTGACTCTTACGACACCCATGGGGTGAACACACGGATAGTAATGGGTTTAGAAAATGTATATACAATATTGTCCAATTGATGGCACTGTATAATCTGCCGCGATATGTGGATGTGGTCTATGGTGAGATATCCGCACCGAAATCCAGCTTGATCTGGTAGTTAGAATTCGTCGATTCTTCGCGCAAGACGCTTTGTGATGACTCTCGAAAACAGCTTGTAGACTTAGAATGTACACGGGTCTAAATTTACAATTATAATTAATTATTTGACGGCGTCTCAACTTACAGGACAAGTACAAACTGTATCTTAAAGTTTCACAGTACTTTCGGTTGGTTTTTTTAATGGTATAGGGGGGCAAGCGAACAGGCGTGTCCTGGTGGTAAGTGACTACCGCCGCCCATGGATACCTCCCCCCTTGTCCCCGAGTATCGGGGGGGGGGGGGGGGGTAAGTGTGGTCTCCGGTGATTTCATTCACTAGGTGAAAAGTATCAAAAGAATGCCTTAAAAGTCTTTTGAATCATTTTCGGATATCTTGTTAACAAATTACTCCAACTCAAAACATCTTGATTTCGTAATTTTTTAAAATTGTTTAAAATCGTCTTTTATGTACACTCTAAAGTCATAGATCAACACAGACAATAGCGATAATCCCTATTTTGTCAAATAGTAAGTAAAATAAATTTAACTAATACAAAATCTGTAATATGCCTGTGCCGATCTATAACCGCCCGTTTCCAAGGGATTGAGCCATTGAGTTAAAACAACACTAGAGAAGCAAACCTCATTATCACACGTCGAAAAAAGTGTAACCACTTCTGAACTTTGACGACGTAGCTTTGATACCACTAAACATTTGAAAGTAAACATATTTATGTCTCATTTACACGCGAGACAAGAACAATACCATCGCTCGGATTAGACAAAGATACAACTTTACGATTGTGGGCCAGTGTTGACTACCGTATGAAATTTTACCCATAACAACTAAGAAACAATTTTTTTTTAAAACAATTTTGTAATAAAATAAATTAATTTAAATATTCTAAATAATATATTTCGAATTGAATAGAATAGGTATAAATAATAAAATAACTGGAAATATTTGGTTAAAAGGGTTTATATTCAGTGTAAAATCAAACTGCGCTGTGAAGCATCAGCTTTGTATACAATTGTCTTTTAGACTCTTATTTATAAGTTTGTGTGGATATTTTACTTTCATGATACAATCTTATTTTTACGTATGTAAAAATAATAGCATTTAATAATAAAAGTGAATGATCAACTTGTACTGATAATAAATAATCCCCAGGGTGTATTGCAAATTCTATTATAAATTAAAAAACATATAAAAAAAAATTATTTATATTTTATAATTTTTTTATGTATGTTTACTTACTTTTTTATTTTATTTTTTATTTTTATGATAAACATTTTTTATTATTATTATTTTGTACAATTATTATTTAAAATTGATAATAAATTAAGAAAAACAATGAATTAATTCTTTTGTACAAAAGTCTCCAGCACTGCGAGCTTGGCACTTCTGCCAAGCTCGCAGTGAACGTTCAACGGGTCCCTAAAAAAAGTGATCGGTCCAGCCCTAACAACTACCGTTCTTCCTATATTTTATTATTATTGGCAAAATGTTTAAAAACAGTATAAAGCATATTATTTCATAAATTATAAATTCTCCCACTAATGTGGGAAAACCAAAATGATTTTTTAATGGTAACACTGATTCTAAATTACAATTATCAGTGTTTTATTTCAATTATAGCCTTATTTACGATATTATCAATACAAAAACCATAAACTTACACGTGAAAAGTAATTCCGCATGATTTATTAATGTTTTGTGACCTTGAATCGCATTCTTTCACTACGCATTTAGCCATTTTGGCGATTGTTACTGTCATGTGTCGCTATGTTCAACTCGGTTGACGCCACATTGAATACTGAATTGACGTTTGCTACGCATATGCCTGTGGACAGATGTGCAGTAGCAACGATTTTAGGCGGTAATTACTCATCTATGGAAGTATTATATCAATGGATTGAGCATTATGAGAAGAAAGGGCAAACAAACTCATCACCTTAACGAGTGTGAAAAAGTCCTAATGGTATCTTATAACAGAAAGGGTATTATCCTAAGTATTACCATTAGAAATAACAGCGGACTTAACTGAGGCTGAACTGGACTGAAGGTAAAACGACTCTAATAGACCCGTGTAATTGCTTCTCCAATACAAATGGATCGAATTTTCTTTGACAATTTTTTTTAAGCACGTCTGGGGGCCTTTGAACGCTGTTATATTAACGCAAATGTTGGGTTTTCGAGTTCCTAATCAGATTTGAGTGAATGAAAAGAATTTGGGAAAAAATAAAAATGTTACGCTAATTGTTCCTTTTTAATTTTTACTTTAGAATATTAATTCATATAATTTCGTTTTGTATCCGTATAATTTAACTTTGAGAGAGCAACTAAAATAAAATAGATAGATGAATTATAAAAATAATTAATTTTAAGCTTCATACTACGCCGCATGTTGTGGGTTCCAACCCCACATGGGACGACACTTTGTGTGATTCACAAATTGTTCTTTTGAGTCTGGGTGTTCTTTGTGTCCGTTTCATGTAAGTTTGTAAAGTCCCCCGCGACACAGGATATATTCCTAACGCGGGAGTTGTCTTTTAAAAAAACCCTGCTTCTCTAGATAATATATAGATATGTATAACATAGGTTATACATACAACCCTATGCTTATAAAAGCTGTTTATAAAAGTTTAGGGTTGTTTACCATAGAAGAAAAAAGCAAAAAAAATACCCTCAGTTTCAACGAATGAAGTATCCAAAGCCGTGTTGGGTAGGGCGGCTTTGGTCGTTATCGCAATATTTTCAGTGATATCACAAATGGATTAAATGAGTTTTGTTGATGATAGCTGTGTATAACAGTCTACTTTACTTAGGTAAGTACAAGGAAAGTACTTCCTTAATACTTATTAAGTCTAAGTAAAGAAGACAGTTTTGGAGAAAATATTTTTTGTCAAAGTAGAATATTATTTATGAATATCGAATAAGTAAAACATGAAAGACCACACTTGGAAGGTACCACTACCCGTTCCGTCTTCTTCATTTCAATGTACTGTATAATAATATGTACCTGTGGAGGAACGGGTGTCGTGTCCCTCCAACACAAAGGGAGGATCCTCCGACCAGGCGAGGTGATCATGCCTGGCGGGCCGCGGCCCCACGGTTGAAGTTGGGAAGTTGTATATATGCTAATCGGCGAGGGAATTCTTTATATCGCGATACAGGATTAGCAATTCTTATTTTGTAGTTACTCCGTAGTTCGATGTGTCTTCATTAGATGGCGCTGTAGTATGTTTATGTGGGAGTCGCCACATACCTACTGGAAAACTTGAAATCTTATTGTATATACATTTTAGGTGACGGGTTTCTTTAAAAAGTCGTCACCCACACTAGGAATATATCCTTTGTCGCGGGGAACTTACGTGAAAGGAAACAAAGTACACCCAGATTCGGTACAAACATTTGTGGATCACACAAAGTGTTGTCCCATGTCTGGATCGAACCCACAACACTCAGCGCAGTAGGAAGCGGCAAGAGGACCGCTTAAACCACTACACAATGCGTGTACTTAGTCATAATTTATAATAAGGTCAAAATATACACTGACCCCTATGGTTTCATTTAGGTATTTATATTTTAAAATATAGTAGAAAATATAATAGACGGGCCTGTTGGTCGAGTGGTTAGTGCCCCTGACTGCTAAGCCGGAGGTCGTGGGTTCGATTCCCACCCAGGACAAATATTGTGTGATGAGCATGATCATTTGTTCTGTGTCTGGGTGTAATTTATCTATGATATGTATGTATTTAAAAATATATAAGTATGTTTATCAGCAGTCTGGTCACCATAGCACAGGCTCTGCCTAGTTTGGGATCAGACGGCCGTGTGTGAAATGTGTGAGGTATATTATTAAAAAAAAAAAAAAAAAAAATAGGTCTTTACCTATGAAATTGCCGTTTTGTATGCAATAAGTGAAAGTACTTATTTTTTCAAACTTTTTTATTTCTGTTATTCGAAGTTATCACCCATGCAATCGACGCATCTTTGCCAACGCATTGGCAGTTTATTGATGCCCTTCTTGTAAAAATCAGCTGGACGGGAGGCAACAAACTCTTCAAAGGCATTTTGTACTGCCTCTCGGGAATTGAATTTTTTACCCACCAAAAAGTTGTCTAAATTTTGGAAAAAGTAATAGTCGGTAGGTGCAAGGTCACAAGGTTCACTTATTGCATACAAACCGGCAATTTCATAGGTAAAGACCTAATATATATATATATATATATATATATATATATATATATATATATATATATATATAATTTAAGCATTTACAATAAAATGTGCTTACGTGAACCTTATTTATTGACAGTTCGAATATCATCCATGACCAACACTTATTCTTTACCATAAATAATAAGATCTTTTTTCTTCGGTTTCAGAGTACTGTCACCCGTACGAGCCTTTCAAATGCCCGGTGGACGGCAACTGTATCTCGATCCAGTACCTCTGCGACGGTGCCCCGGACTGCATCGATGGCTACGACGAAGATTCCAAGCTGTGCACTGCTGGTAAGACACAAGAGATCTTATTTAACTTTTTTAACGCCTATAATCGCTTTTAGTGCCAACTCTGCTGTGATTAACTCCTATAAATGAAGTATAGAGACCACACACTACACACTAAAGTAATACTGTGTAATTGACGCTTTTAGTGCCAACTCTGCTGTGATTAACTCCTCCTGAATAAAGAATACTGGGTAACTGTACACGAGTAACTGACTGCACGGATGGCGTATTGGTTTAAGCGGTCGCTGAGTGCTGACGCTGAGTGTTGTGGGTCCGATCCCCACATGGGACGACACTTTGTGTGATCCACAAATTGTTGTTCTAAGTCTTGATGTTCTTTGTGTCCATTTTATGTATGTTTGTAAAGTCCCCAGTGACACAGGATGTATTCCTAATGCGGGAGTTCTCTTTAAAAAAAACAAACATTTTAAGCTTGAAATTAATATTTTATTTATAATTATTCAGAACCCAGACTATTTGCAGGACGAGTGTTATATTAAAAAGTGTCGCACAGGCACGAAATTAGTTTCGCCCACATAACTAATCAGAGTTTGTTTAGGTTAACTAAACCACTACACCTCTATTTATTACGGCTGGTGTGAAATTCAATTATATAATTAAAAATATATTTTGTGCTCACGACTGAAGTAATCTACTTTTTTTTTCATATTAAAGTATAGTATATTATGTCGTATATAGTAGATTTGTATGATCATCATCATCATCAACAACAGCCTAGAATAGTCCACTGCTGGACATAGGCCTCTCCTTAGAAAGGAGGTTTTGGCCTACTATACCACGTTGGCCAGAGGGGTTGATATAGGGTTTGTTTCAAGTTTTCCTTCTCTTTGCAGTGCTGTTGTCCTGCGTAGTTTGCTCCCTTAGTCGGCTCTTAGGACACCAACGGGATGAATAGGGGTGGTGACATTCCGTATTCTTAATCCGTCACTACACTGTTGCTAAATCTATTATAATTGATGTTGAGAAAATAATTCTCCACATCACAATTAAATAACAATTTGGTGTGAAATCCCTGCCAACATTATAAATGCAAAAGTAAGTCTGTTACGCATTCACGGCTAAATAGCTGATTTTAATGAAATTTGGAATGGAGATACTTTGATTCTTGAGGAAGGACATAGGCTTATTTTTACTACGATAACCGATATACACGGAACTACGGGCAAAAGAAAGTCCTCAATAAATTATTGAATGAAACGAAAAGAAATAAGTCCAACCAAAATCTGTTACATCTAAACTAAACCTTTTCAACTTTCAGAAGCTATTTACGAATGGAAATTGAACTATTCAATTTAACGGTAAGCTAGAGACATCGTGGAACATTTACTTAAAATGCTGATTCGGCACTCCATTTTTTTTAAACGTTATTCACCACAATTGGTGACAAAATTGTTTCCTGTCCGGATAAAACCATCTGACCTTGGCTGGTAATTAAAAACAAAGGTTGTAACAAAAGTCTTTGTACATAAAATTCATCTATTCATTACGAAAATCTGTAAAATAAGTGTTGAAGTTAGCGTCATAAAAATACGGAAATAAAGTGCATGTAGAGTCGCACCCACAGAGTACCTCTACCGTGTTTAATGTACCCGTTACTTTAGAGCTGCGGTGTTGGAATAGGTTTTGTAATAACTTATGTTTTATGATTCCCTGAAAAAGGAATCGTGCAAGAATACATAAAACGAAAGTTTATATGCATGCACCTTTCATTTCACAAAGGATTCGACTAAATACAGCACTTTTGTGTGTTAGTTAAGTTTTTACATAATATGAACCGACTTCAATAATTATTTTTCAATTGGATTGGTCTTAATTAGAGTTGCTTGTAGAAATTAAAAAAAAAACCACCTGTCAGGGTGAAAATACTCCAATCATACATAGATAAATTACACCTAGACACAGTCCAAATGATATTGCTTGTCAAGCTAATTACTTGTCCTAGGTGGAAATCGAACTAATCAATAGGTCAACCAATTACATGTTTTATTGTCTGATGAGTACGGTCATTTGTTCTGTGTCTGTATAATTCATCTATAATATGTATGTATTTAGAAATATATAAGTATGTTTTTCAGTAGTCTGGTTACCGTAGCACAGGCTCTACCAAGTTTGGTCATCGTAGGGGAGTGGAAGGAACGACTCGGGCAACCGAGCGCCGGGCACGCCGTCATCGCGGCGGTAAGACCCGTTATAGAGATCACCTGTGTCTGATCCGCAATGAGCCAACGCCTGAGTGCCACCACTGCGATGGCCAGACCGTGGACACGGCTCTCCACACGCTGGCAGAGTGCCCGGCGTGGGTTGAGCAGAGGCGAGACCTCGTGGCGGCCATCGGAGTGGGAGTTCTCTCGCTCGATAGATTGATTGCGGCTATCGTGCGGAGCGAGAGTGCGTGGAACTCTGCCGTCTCCTTCTGCGAGCAAGTTATGCTCGCGAAGGAGACGGCGGAGCGGGACCGGGAGAGGTTTAGGACTCTCCCGGCCCGCCAGGCCCGGGAACGGGCCAGGTACCGCAGGCGACTCAGGCGCCGGAGGTCGAAGAACGACCTCCATCCTCCATAAGCGCAGGCCTGGGGGTGACAGGTGAGGCCATCTGTCACCCTAGCAGAAGCAGGCCGGGGTGGCGGCGAGCGAGTCGACAGGTGGTATCCGAGCGGATTTCCGCACGGAAAAAAAAAAAAAAAGGCTCTACCAAGTTTGGGATCGGACTGCTGTGTCTGAGATGTTTTTTCCTTTAAAAAGACTCCCGCACTAGGAATAAATCTTGTGTTGCGGTGGACTTTACAAACATGTCAATGATGAAACAGACACAAAGGATACCCAGACTCAGAACAACAATTTGTTGATCACACAAAGTGTTGTCCCATCTGGGGATCCAACCCACAACACTTAGCGCAGTAGGAAGCGGCGAGGTGACCGCATAAACCACTACGCCATCCTTGCAGTTATTTTTTGTTTTAGTCATAATATATTGGATGTGATAGGAAATAGTAATACGCGTTACTTATTTAAGAACGTATTTTTAAATCTGTCTTTTATTACAATGTACACGCATTTATATTAAAATATTACGACTAAACCTACAAAGGGTCACACGCAACCCGTGTCTGACATACGACGTTCCATCAGTATTAGAATATTACATTTACCATGTAAAACGGGTACGAAATAATTAAATAACACGAGATTAATGAGCTATACAAATGCCGTCATCTTGGGCTTAGGTGCTGTCATCTTCTTAGGAGTGTAATCTCATCATCTCAGACAAAGACGGTCGATCAATCTTTATTCATGTTTAAGTTCTATTTTTGTTCTTTGTGTCCGTTTCATGTATGTTTGTAACGCCCCTCGCGACACAGAATATATTCCTAATGTCCCGCGTTGTCTGTAAAAAAAAAAACATTTCTATGGTTTATTGTTCAAACGAGCAGAGCAAAGTGTGATGGTACGTGACTACTAACGCCCACACATGCAACTCAAGAGACACAAGTGTGCCCTTTATGACCCCCACCCAGGAACAGAGGGAGGGGGGAAGTTAATGGACCGAGGAGGGTTTAAGGCTAACCTCAATAACTCGGTGAAAAGTAACGGAGAAACTGCTTAAGACGAGTTTTCCGTGAAGCCATGGTATCATTCAATTTGAGCTGGACCATTTATATCGAAGCATGGCTCTCTCATCATTCTAACATTCTTTAAAAATATGCCTGTGAGTTTATTTGTCATTCTTTGTTTTAGTTATAACAAAGCGATGCCGATACCAAAAAATTTTAAAATAGCTAAGTGCACTAACTTAACTATTAAATCAATCTTTCGCAATTTTTGTGTAGAGTTGCCAGAAGCACAGAAAAGGTACCATTTATTCAAACTTTTTTCACCCAGGCAACTTTGACGGCAAAGCGGGTAAAAGTTAATCATTATTGATATTAATATTCAGGCGGTAATTTTTGAATGTAAAAGTCCAACTTGAGATGTCCTTTTTGCATTTTTTATTGGTTATTTCTCCAAGAAGGTCTTTTGGTACTTATATCAAGCTATGGCTCTTAAGGGTATAGTAATGACCGTAAACGACGGATGGAACACAGGGAATGTTATACACATTTCTGTCTATATTTACTCCTTTGATACCAACCATTAATATTAAATAACTGCTTGAAACAACTATCAAAGCGAACAACATACTTTGCTGTTTCAAATCCATTTTCGTTTGGACAAGTTTTATTTGTAAAACTTTAATTTCCTGGCTTTGATGTACTTTTGATGATTTATTCTGGTGTATTCCCAGTAGTTACGTGAAGCCAGTTGCATATGGAACTTTTGCAACCCACTATCTTAAAGCTTACTTTATAGTCTTTAAAAACTTTCGTATTATGTTTAGTTGGGATAGACTATTTTAAGAAATTTTTAAATGATGTATCATTAATATATTCCTAAATATTTACAGAGATAATACCTTTTATATGTAAAAGGGCTGGAAATTCTAACAGCCCACAAATAGCGAAGTTTAAATCACAGCTATGTCTACCCACTTGTATTAGCAATGTGCTTTCCCTTCTTAACTATCTTTTGTTTATCCCATTTTAACTTCAAAAGTGCAGCATTGGCGCCAAATGCTTGCCATTTATGTTATAATTGGTACCAAAATACAAAATGTAGGTCTTTAAATATACTTCTGCTTATCTATTCGGGGATATATACATAAATATATTATTACATATACTCGTAAGTATGGACATCATTTATGGAATACTTGTAAAGGAAGCTGCTCTAAAATAATTTCTTATCTAAAAATTGACCTTAATAACGAAAGAATATTAACAAGTTGTCTATCTGATTTCAAAGTAGGCATAGCCCGTACTAAAAGTTATGCGCACTTCGTCACATTCGCCCTTTGTCCCGCGTTCGCAGTTGGTCCCATTCGCAATTGGTCCCGTTCGAGTTTTGTCCCCTTCGCATTTTGCAATATATATATATAAATATATAATTATTTGTCCTGTGGAGATGCCTGAATCGAGCCCACAACTTCGAGCTCAGCAGTTATCAATACCAATGGCACCGTGCAATAGTTTTTCCACAGTCCAAAGCCATAAAATAGTTGTATATAAAGTAGGCAACACGCGAACGAGTGACATCCTTTGTGTTGCTACACTAACTCCTTTCGGACTTTCGTAGAGTTGTTTGTAACCTCGAGACTATAAATAGCCTACAAGTAATTTCAAACATCCTTGAATAAAGCTTTAAGTCTGAAAATCCTTTGTTCAAAACAAAGGAGTTTTGTAGTTACAAAGGTACACCACACAAAACCCAGGTAAATTAAAAAAGTTTAAAGAAGGTTAGATTCTGTTACGTACAATGTTTTGAATTCAAGACCTAAGCTTTAATTTAGACAATGTGTTAGGTAATCACTTCTAATTAAGTTTACTAGTAAGGAGCTGAATTAATAAGTAATCCAGGACGGAATGTTCAATTGTGTTGAAAAAATTTGGAGGAAGATCAGGGTTTCATACACATGGGAATAGAAAACCAACTAGTGGAATAACTAGTGATAAAAACCTAGAAACCAACTTTCTTCTTAATTAATTGCCATTAATAAATAAAATTGTAATTTGTTAGATCTTTTTGCGATGTCTTTTTCATGTGTCAGCACAAGTGTGCGGATTTTTTCACAGCTAATGTATATATCGTGGGTTTTGATCCCATCCAGGACAAATATTTGTTTGATACTATCATATGTTCTGTGTCTGGGTGTAATTTATCTATGATATCATGTATGTATTTCAAAATGTTTACATAGGTATTTCAGCAGTTTGGTTACCATAGTTCAGGCACTACTTTTTGGGACCAGACGGCCGTGTGCGAGATATGTGAGATTAATATTGTTATTTTAGAAAAAGCCGTGTGGTGTCGTGGGACACCCGATAGGAACGAAGTTGTAACGATCGAGTAAAACTGATTCGGCACATTTTAATTACAACGCCATCTATGAAAGCGGCTATTACCTACATATTTTTCAGTTGGTTTCTAATTAAAACAATTTATACATTGGTAAAATCTCCTTGAGAAATGATTTCCTATCTATTCGATAGATGGCACTGAATGACTGACATAAAAAGATAGAAATGAAAATATCTGGCTTGCTTTCTATAAGAGAGAGAGAGACAGACAGAGAAACATGCGACGCCGCACAGCTTACAATAGCTTACTATAGCAAAAAGTGTCGTGACCAATTTTCGTAAGAATTTTTTCCGTCTAGCCCCCTTTCACAACGCGCGATAAGGAACTTCGTTCCAAAAGAAAATATCAGGCAATAACATAAAACAATCCACACTTACGTACTTATATTATAAATGTTAAAATGAGTTTGTTTGTTTATTTGTTTGATACGCGTTCACCCCTTAACCACTAAACCGATTTTAAAAATTCTTACACCATTTGAAAGCAACATTATCAGCGAGTAACATAGGCTTTTCCCGCAATAACCGGCATATACACATAATATAAAAGAAAATATTTAAGATATCTTAGTAATTGAAGAAAGGACCTAATTAATTACTGCAAAGAAATACTTAGCGTAATAATTGATGAGCTCAGAGACTAATTAAATGACAGAGTCGATAATATACTAACTATTTACTTATAATTAAATCTTATTGTACCTTTTTTTTGGTGATGGGGTGGAAAATCCCTTTGCGGATATAGGAGCCAGGAGTATGTGGTGTTTCTACTAAAAACCACCCCGAGCTGGCCGCCTTAGGAAGAAGAACCCGGTCCATGTGATTTCAGGCCCCCCAGATCGACGCCGCACCTAACTAAGCCCTATCTCACGGGAAGCCAGTGGCTTCTCCCTGCCTATCAGCCTATTGTACCTATAGCTTACAAGTACTACGTCACATTATACGAATAAAAGTAATTCTTGTATTCCTTACATTCGTAATATGTGACGTGACCACTCCTTGTATTGGGATGTCGATTGTTCTAAAATCATATATAGGCGATAGTAGTGGGATAATCATGTTTTAACAATGCGCCTGCTCGACCGAAGTGACCGGCCTCACAGAAAACCTTTTCGCCAAGTCAGTGAGGTAACTGCAACCTAAGCCCTCCCCCCGATTGGGCAGTGAGGTAACTGCAACCCTAACGGGGGGGGGGGGTTGCAGTTACCTCACTATCCCCTGATTCTGTGGCGAGGACCCATAGGGCTGCAATGCACCTGTGACTCTTGAGCTGCCGTCCATGGCCGACGCTATTCACATACGAATATTTCGTAGATCGTTTGGCAACCTTAAACATAAATTGTCATAAAAATACATGGAATCTAGTTGTACCGGCGCTACTCCTGGTCTTCTATCTAGATTCTTAGGAAAGCTAGTACTATGAGTTACAGGATACAGATAAACTTACACAGATACTTTTTATATACATAGAAATGTAACCGATGCAAATTAAATTACATGTCTTCAAATTTTGTACTAAGCGGGAACCAAACAGTTTGTCGAATACAATATCGACGCACCACAGAATCTTCTTTCGAGTCTAACATAATTTTGTATTATAATAATCAATATTCTTCTATAAATGTACATTTATAATGTCAGAATTTATAATACAGTCCTAATAATGTCAAAAGCAAATACCGTAACTTAAATAAGTTTTCGTCATTATTACGCCGTATAGTAGTAGACAGGCTTGCCAAATTTTCTATAAATAAAATTTAGGTCAGGTAATGTAATGAAAATTATCGATTTATGTATCATTCTTTGAAGTCGTTTAATTAAATGAAAGTAAACAAAGCTGCGTGCTACCTTCTAACTCACTTAGTTGGCAAAATGTGTCTTAAACGGGTTTTTTGAGATACATCTTCTTATCCCTCGGATACAGGCATGAGTTTTAGTGCATATATCCTATGCTGAAATTATTTTATTAGTAATATTTTAAATTATAATAATAAACTTAATCTATTTACCCACAGTCGTCTGATCCCAACTAGACAGATCCATGGGAACCAGACTGTTGATAAGCATACTTATGTATTACTACATTCATACGTATTATAGGTAAATTACAACAGAACAAATGATCGTGCTCATCACACAATTAGTTGTCCGGGGTGAGAATCGAACCCACGACCTTCGGCTCCGGCGACCAACGAGCCAGTCACACTACTCTGAAAATATTCCATATTCAATATTACCTTTTTTTTCACAGCAAAGAGGCCACCTGTTGAAGAAACGGCATCATTTCTTCAATCGTTACTGGCATCCCACGGGCCCAACTACCTAGAGAAATTGTTCGGAAGTAAGGCTAGAGACGCCTTGGAACCACTTGGCGGTGTCGAGAAGGTCGCCATTGCTCTCTCCGGTAGGTAATTCTATATTTACGATTGGTACTAAAACCCTTCATTCCTTATAGCTGAAATATATTTTCTAAATTACTTACATAGAAGCATCTATCTGCCCCATTTCATAATATGGGAATAGATATAGAACAGATCTCGTCGAATTAAAACATCTGAAGTGTTTTTAACCACCAAGCTGGTGCCTTCATCCCTGACTGAGTGCCAAAAGGAATTTCATAAATATGAGAAATGGCTACAAACTTCACAAAAGAGAGTACCGAATTAATTTTAAAGTAAAACTCAAAGAGTTCAAACATGAGGATAATTTAAAAAAGGTTACATAACCACTATTCTTGTAACCTTAATGAATAAAACGTGTTTTCGGTGTAAGTTCACTTCTGTAACGCACTTGGTTTAGAATCTGATAGGTCGCAAATTTAACGCCAGTTTCATTCTTCGTTTTCTTTTTATACTATCATCAACAGCCTTTAATAGTCCACTGCTGGACATAAGCCTCTCCTTAGAAAGGAGGTTTTGGCCTACTATACCACGCTGGCCAGACGGGTTGGTATAGGGTTTGTGTCAAGTTTTGCTTCTCTCTGCATTGCTGTTGTTCTGCGTAGTTTTTTTTCTTAGTCGGCTCTTACGACACCCACGGGATGAATAGGGGTGGTGACACTCTGTATTCTTAATCCGTCACATATACTATAATAAAAATAAATTAATAATAATTTATTTATTTCTATGAAAAAGTACAGTTCAACATGCAATACATTATGTATTATATTTTATATTATTATAAAATATAAGGGTTACCACAAATTATAACAGATCTCACACAGAACACATCTCTTAAACTAGGGTGAGTTTTATCCTAAGAGGCAGTGTCTGGATAGACTATGCTTATCAAGATTGTTGTTTAGAATGGAGTGTTACGCCGCCTTGGGTACCAGTAGCTGGGGAACCAGGTGTACACTAGGAAGGAAATCCCTGGTACCCAAAGCACCCTTTCCCGTGATCACCTGCGTCAGCCGGTATCAGAGGGTCCCGTGATGCCTGTCGAGACAATCCTCCATAACGGGTCTTACCGCCGCAATAGCGGCGTGCCCGATACTGTCCCTTACCCTAGAAAATAAAGTCACTCTTTTCCTAAAAGATCTAAAAAAATTGTAAAAAATCTTAATGTAGGTTAAGTTTCCTGTAATCCACAAAATATGTTTTTTCTTTAGCTTACTAAATATATACATGTTTCCAGAATCGCAAACTATCGAGGACTTTGGAGCTGCGTTACACCTAATGAGGTCAGATCTGGAACACCTGCGCTCTGTATTCATGGCTGTGGAGAACGGCGACCTTGGCATGCTTAAATCCCTCGGCATCAAGGACTCGGAGCTTGGCGATGTCAAGTTCTTCTTGGAAAAGCTAGTCAACACAGGATTCCTGGACTGAATAGGACCGGAGTCTGCCTCTGATTACTATCACGTCGTCCAATTTGCCCCCATAAGCTCATCCTTCTATAGCTATCTACCTTATGACTCTATCAAGTATAGGAGAAAGTAAAACACTTTCCCCATCTATATCCTGAGAAATTGTTGGAATGCTTGTTATCAGAAATCAAAAAGAATATTTTTTAAAGAAATGATTTTAGAAGCCAAAATCGACTTCTACAACCGGCCACGTAGACTCGAATGCTTCTTGTAATCATTTCTATTCGACATGTAATGTTTTGCTATCAGTGAAGAATTAAGAGAGGGAGAGAGGGTATTTATTTTCGAATAGTATAGGTATATTTTTATATACAACGCTTGATTAGGTTATAAACCAATATCATTGTTTAGATTACCTTTTTAGATGTTATCAGAGTCCCATACTCGCGTCTATCATAAGTGTTGATTAAATAAGGCTGGGACTTTAACGAAGATTTTGTTCTAGTCAAAGTGTATGTCACACTTCATGATGACTCTGATAACATATCATTGTATGTGTGCGTGGTGATTGTCGCCCTTAAATTTTTTTTCTTCCTTCTTGGACTAATATCAGAGGCGACTCCATTGAAACGTCAAGCGTCCATTCTAAGCGAGATATAAAGCTAAAAATCGGTTGATTTGAGATGTCCTTAGATTAATAAAAGAAAAAAATAAAGAATCGTTGAAAGAATGCATGCGCTTTATATCTGGCTTTTGGGAAAATCCAGAATAGGACTATGGAAACATATCATTGTAAACTTAGATGTAGGTAAAAATACATATCATAGATTATAATCAGTAGCGTATAAAGTACAATTATTTTAATAATCGGTATTGTAGTGTACGAGACATTTTATAGACCCTTTTAGTACCTATATACTTTTTTCGTCATTAAAAAATATTTAACAAATGAAAAGCATAGTTTTAACGGTGCTGCACTTACACAGAAACATATCAAAATTAATGTGATTATTAAATACATGTTAGATTTATTGTATGTTATATTATTATATTCTAGAGTAAGAAGTAGAAAAATTAAATTTATAGATATAATTAATTCTTAGAATCCAATTTCAATCACTTATAAACATCTTTTAACTACGATTGGTGTTTTAATGGAACTTTTGTCAAATGCGGGCTAGTAAGACAACGAATAGAATAATGACTCGACTTCAAATGAGAAAGAGAAGTAGAGAAAGGTACATGATGTTGAAAGGTTAATAAACCGAAAAAAATAAAAATGTTTTTTTTCTGTTTATTCAATACATTGAAAATATTTTTCGTCTGGCAATATACTTAAACAATTTTTGGAATGATATTATTTCAAAGCATTGTTATTTATATTTTTAATTGGCATTGGTATATTTAAATCTTATTCTTCAATATTTCCATAACAAAAAAATCATATTTTTGTATAACAAAAATGCAGCAGGATAATAAAAATATATTTATAATTATTGTTATTACATGCTTTAAATTTTAATTTAATATTAAAAAATATTACCTGGTTTCATAAGGTTACGATAATGTTCACGATTAAAAAAATTCATTTTCGTTTTTGCTAGAAACGTTGCGACAATTTATTTTTGCTAATGGCAAGCCTGTATTTGTCAGAAGTCATACTTACACAATATAAATATTCTAGGACTTCAATCGCCAAAAGTTTAGTCTTTCAATCACATTGTTCAGTGTACCTATCAGTAGAGAACTAAATAGTTGTTATATCTTCGTAAGATTTAAACTCATTATTAATATTTTACTTACACGTAGTTAGTATAAGTGGATTTTTATGAATACATATCAACGGTTTAGTAGTTAGGTTGTTAATTTTATCTTACGTCGGATTTCTACTATAATATTCTACAAATGGCGATCTTTGAACTATGTTAGATGCTATTATGTGTTTTGAACTAAGTATAAATGAATAGCTTATTGTTCTTAAATAACAAACCAATAAATGGATCATCTTGAATTGGTCTTTTATTTCAACTACCTATTTAAACTATATCTGGATATACAACACAAATGAAATGGTATTTGTTAGAAAGTGTGTCACTTGACTTGGACATTTGACTGATCCACAAGTTTAAAGTCGCTCATCGTGCGATGAAACATGCAATATTCGGTGTTTTCCTAGCCTCTCTAGAACTAGAGTAACCGACATCGTACGGAGACTCAGTACGCTGAAGTAGAAGTGGGCCGGTCATGTCTCCAGACGGAATGACGGTCGCTGGAGCTGATATTTTCTAGAGTGGAGACCGAAATTAGGCAAACGTAGTGTAGGGAGCTCTGCGGCACGAGGGACCGACGACTTTAAGAAAGTGGCTGACAGCAGATGGATTCAGACTGCCCAAGACCGGGATAGTTGACGCTTCTTGAGAAATACCTTCATTCAGTAGTGGAGGGCAATAGGTTGATGAGTGTCACTTGAACATAGCTAGATAGATACGGTTGATTTTTTCATTTGGAAGATGTTCTAATAATACTATCGAATCAATGTATGATTTACAATAATAATCAATTTTCCAACCAACCAAATTTAACTATGAAAACATTTTTTACCAAAATTTAACGATTTTTGTTTTTTTTTCTGATAATTGGAAATATTGCCTGAAAGAAAGAAGATTTTGGGTAGATATGTCAGTGTTTTTTGTGCGTTATCTTTTTTTATTCTTGGAAACGAGACAACGAGACGACGGAATACAACTACCTTTCCGTTATAGAGGGCGATGGGCGGGTTCCTGAACGAATTTTAACCTTCAGAGGACCTAGTGTGATTTTATTTGACATCTCGATCTGACTCAATCGTCACGGTGACCGCGTTCGACGCTGCGATTAACCCGGACTGAAATCTTAACCAATCGCAACGGCGAACGCGCTTGCTGTCGAGGGCGAGTTGATGTAATTTTTAAGCTATTGCATAGCATCTATCGCGGGCCTTGAGCGTGGAGACCGAATCCAGAAATTCCGTAACGAAAAAACCCAACACACCCCACGTGATACTTTTTAGTTTTGCCATCTATCGATGAATAGCAGAACTTTTAATGACTTTCTTGAAATATCACGGTTGTCTCTTTAGTTTAGCAACTCGCCTCTAGGTGGCATTGGTTGTATCGGCGTTACTGCGCATGCGTCTCTTCGCCCCGCAATCGAATTAATATCAAAGAAAAAAAACAAAGGAAAAAAAACGAACGAACGAAAAAGAGCAGACGGTTCACCTGATGGAAAGCGACTACTACTGCCCACAAAGCATGTTGTCTGTCTGGAACATAGGTTTATCTTTAGTCGATGTTAAATAAACTCACACTTGGTGAAGAGTTCAGTGCGGATTCTGTTGATATGAAATAAACTCAAACTAGGCCCCAAGAATCCATAACTGGGTATACATCGCTGTATGATCTCTTTGCTTACTGTGAAGGGTATTTTATTTTGTTTAATTCCTTGCTATTTCAAACCAAACAGCCAAAAGTTTCATAGCCCTTCTCTGCAGGGCACCATCATCACATCAACATTCCTTTTCCCTAACGAACCCCACCATTCTTCTTCTTATTCTTATTAAAAAAGACAACTCCCGCATTAGGAATATATCCTGCGTAGCAGGGAACTTTACAAACATGCATGAAACGGACACAAAGAACACTCAGACACAGAACAACAATTTGTGGATCACACGTCCCATGTCCAACCCACAACACTCAGCGTAGTAGTAAGTGGCGCGGCGACCGCTTAAACCACTACGTCATCCGTGCAGTCTTACCATAAACCATACAAAGGTTAATGCTATTGTAATAATGGCGATTTAGTCAAGATTGTTTTTTTTTTTTAAATTCAATTTGATGTTGACGGGTATCGATTAAGTGGATATCTTAAAAGAAGTATTTCTTCCTATCGGTAAAATTGTTTATCCCGATGGTCATAGAATCGAATTTGGACATGACGGAAGTTGCGTCCACAATGCAAGAAGGGCCCACCTAAACCCCCTAAACCGAAAATTTATGGGGTTTAATAGTTCAAAATTGGGACTCCACGTGAGTAAGGTCAGTAACCAATTTATGTATAACATGTATGTATTTATAAATAAAAAAAAACAGAATAAAATGTATTTATATCAGTTGTCTAGTACTCATAATTCAAGCTCTGCTCAGTTTGGGACTAGATGGCGTTGTGTAAATGTGGTAGAATATTATTATTTTAACGCTTAAAATATTTTGAAACATTGGCACTGCCAATGTATTATTGAACTCGACTGTACAAATTGGAAGTTGGTGAAAACGTAGATGTAGAGTGTTGCCCGTAGGAAAATAAAACTAGTATTAGGCTGCCACTTTTTCTTAATATGCTCCCGTATTGTAGGTACTTATTACTTTGACGACCGGATGGCGTGGTGGTTTGTGTAACGGATTGCTATGCCAATGGTCGCGGGTTCAATTCCCGCTCAAGTCAAACATTTGTGTGCATGAACATGTAATGTTTGATTTGGTCTGGGTGTTTCTATGTATAATATGTATGTATTTACAAAAAAAAGGTATATAAGTATTTATATCAGTTGTCTAGTACCCATAGTACAAGCTCTACTTAGTTTGGAACTAGATGGCGTTGTGTGAATGTGATAGTATATTATTATTACTTGATAGGTAAAATAAGAGGTATGCAATTCAGTTATTTATTTTTTTATTAACTTTTTAGACTTTCGTGTTTCATGATATATATAATTATTACTAGTGAATGTGTTCCGTGAGACAGCCATACTTCGACACAAATGGGCCGGCTCGACCGGAGCGATACCACTGCCTCACAGAAAAGTGCTTTTAGGTTGCGTTGCTTTTACCAAATAAGTGAGATTATTGGTTTTTGTAAAGGTATAGGGAATATTTCAGTATACGGATCACCTGCTGATAAGTGACGTCAGACTAATTGACGCCGGTAATCCAAAAGTCACAAGTAGACATGGGAATTATTGTTACTTATAAATCATATTCATCTGATGAAATGATTGGTTTTAGTCACAGAGATTTCACATGTGATTGTGATTTCGTCATAGACAAAGATAAATGGCATTAAAATCAATCAAAATTATTTTTATCAAAGATTACCTTTATTTATACTTTTTTGCTTTAGATTCCCGCGAGCGCTAGTGTAATAATAGTAATTAAGTAGCAGTGATTTGTAAATCAGTCACGGGTGTGATGATATGTTTTATCACATGTGATTAACATTTTATTCCATACCTAGTCACAAATTGCCGGCCTTTGCGTACCTCACTTACTCGCTGAAATGCAACAATAGAACTGCTTCAACCCGGTTTTTTATAAGGCTGTGGTATTACTACTGGTCGAGCCAAAGCATGGCTCTCCCACGAGTATAGACGACGAATTGTATTCACATTTACAAAGGATAATCGGTTTTACTTCTATCTATCTTCCCGTGATGCCAGACTAATCTCAGACCTAATGGCAGAATTTATGCAAGGGGTGTAGCGACTTTCCGCGTTTGTTTTAAAAACTGCAATGGCTCCAGCGCCTCCCCGCCGAGAAATACACACGTGTGATTAAAACCGTTTATCCAGGTGTATAGGGAAACAATTTTATAATACCTTTAGCCAAATTATAGAAATTAACATCTTTAAACTCAATACATATCATTAAACTATCCAATGATTTGTACTGATGTAATATTGTGTTTTTGAGAGTTTTTTTATGTCAATAACATTTTATCAGACAACAGTGTTACCAGGAGTTCAGTAAAAAACTTACATTTTGAAAAACGAGCCATTTTTTGTAATAAAAAAAAAAACAATTACACAGGCCAACAAAATTTGATAAAGTTTCTTGCCCAGAAACCAGAGTATACTTTCCCGAAGGGTTTTGGTGAACTGAATCCAAATTCGGCCGCAGATAGGCTCTATCACGTCAGGTTATTGAGATATTCTAACCTAAACGGGCAAAAACACAATTTTTGCTCATTTTTAAGGTTATGTAACCCTTCAAATAATATTTTGCCTAAAAAAGTACACAAGGTATCTTAAAGTTCAAGTCTTTGCTTTTCAAAATGGTTGAGTTTGCTCAAATATCAGTTTTTTCGCCTCCAAACCAATCAAACACTGCCTACCTAGACTTCAGCTAAGCAAACCTTTAACTAAAGTACTAGCCTCTGAACTAAGCAAAATCTGTTCAGTACTATCTAATTGTATTTTTTTTTTGTTGACCTGTGTTATTTTTACAACTTCCTAATAGATCTAGAATTGGACTATATACAATTTGAGGTAACATACTGTCTCCGATAAATAATGGAGTAACAGGCAATCCCATTACACAATAGAGTTTAAAGATTTATTTTCAGTGACTTCTTTAACAATTTTGTATAAGAACTTGTGTTAATATTATATCTAAAATAAATGTACTCCTATAATTGTAATATAACAAACTAACATACACTGAAATCATTCAACAATTATCAAAATAAAAAATAAAAATGTCTTACTTAGTATTCTACTATTTACAATTACAACATAACTATTACTTTATATACTAACCATAAAAAAGTAATCAATTTCATCATCCATTATTTAGTAATGTGCTTACTAAGGCCATAAAAGTCTGAGACACACCACTTCTTCCAGAAAAGTGGCAAAAAATCCTTGCACAGTAAAAGCCACAGCTAATCAGGCAACTGTCAGAAATACAGCACAACACAAACGGCTTAACGGCCCTTATTTTTATAACCATTTGTCTTCTTCAAGACAGAGGCTAGTCGCTATTTCCTTACTTTCTTCTTTGTAGTCTTTTCCCCTCGCATCTGATCCTCCTCGTCCATCTTCAAATAATGAGATTGTAGGTGTGATACCAATTTCTTTTCTCTAGTAAATTTCTCATTACACAAATTACATGAATACTTCCCTTTATCTTTAGAATCTTTACTATCCGCAGTTTCACGCAAAACTGCAGAAGAGGTAGAAATTTGTGATTCCTGTATAATATTATCGGTTGGTAATACGTAAGAAGGCTGCAATAGTGGGTCTACGTTGATAAATGTGAAAAACCCTGTATCTTTTGGATGTGCAACATCTTCTAAAGTGACTGTGAAGGGCTCTTTGGAGCTAGACTGGGCTGTTTCATGTTTAGCTTTTCTTTGACGTTTTTTAGGCACTTCCGTCTCAACGGCTTTGGCTTTAGTTGATATTAATAATTTACTTGGATCTCCAGTTTGTACTACTGTATAAGACTGCTTTTTCATAGCAGGAGTTGTAAACGTTGCTTGTGAAGGCTGCGAATGATCAACAGTTTGGAAGAGACCAACTGGATATGGCTTTGTTGGATCTTCTAAATCAATTATTTCTGGGCTTTCTGGCTTCTCGCTAATAACACTCTGATCTTGCAACTTGTCTTTTGTCTCATTTGCAGTATCACATTTCCGTTTCCTACTATGTTTCTTAGTATCTTGAGCTGGTGGAACTTGAGCGTTAGCAGGTAATGAAGTGTCTTCTACTAAAGAGAACATATTATTCGGGCCAGGAACTAACTTAAAACGACTGTTAAGATTAGGCATTGATGGTATATGAACAGATGGCACTGTTGGAACCTCAGATGAGCTGTTGGTAGTTGATTGTGAGGCAGTGGTTTGAGATGCACCTGATTCTGAATCATTCAAATGACGTTTAGTTTTACTAGCAGGGCCTGCTTTCAGTTTGGGTTTTGTTTTAGGTGGAGGACTTTTTATTGGTTCTATATTGCTTTCTAAATTTCCGTTTTCTCATTTTCATATTTTTCAGCTAATTTCACTTTTTCAGTGAGTGTTTTCTTCATATCACTATCAATTTTTATATATTTAACTGAGGGCACTTTGGGTGGTTCTGGTGCTGGTACAGATTTAGGTAAATCAACCTTAGGTACACCATTTTTGGCACAACTGTGAGATTCAACAACATCTAGTTTTAAAAAATTTCTATTGCATAATTTACATTGAAATAGTATGCCGACACCATTAACTTTAATCATGGTAATATGATCCATTATATTAAAAGGTTTTTGAGGGTGTTCTTTCTTCTCTTCTTCATTATGTGTTTGTCTCACTGCAGCTGGCGCCTCATAGTCATAACTAAGACTATTTAAAGTAGGTGTAGGATTTTGTGTTGATGCTTTTGTGTAATTTTGTGTAGTAGATTCTGATGATTCTAGCTTTATAGATTGTACTGAATCTGATTTCTTAGATTTTGATACGGATGATTTTTTTGCTTCTACTGTTTCTACTTTTATAGGGGTTTCCAACTGTTCAGTCTCTATCACACCTTGTTTACTAGATCTTGTGACTTTATTTGAGAATGGTTTTGTATCATTTTTCTCTAAAGAAACCTGTCTGAGTGTTGCCTCATCACTTTCATTACTTGTAGGTTCACTTATATCATTTTTTACAACCGGTTCTTTACTTCTTGTCTTTCTTTTAGTTTCTAGGACAGATTCTTCTTTATCCATTGATGAGGCCACTGGAATACTTTTAATCCCCTCCATTGCCTTCTTGATTAAAGCATCGCATATGTCATCATTAGACATATTGGATTTATTTAATTTCTCCTCCCATAATTTCTTGCCCATCTTAGATTTAGTTACAAAAGAACCTATCTTTCCTACTGCATTGCGTAAATTTTGTTGTGTTTTAATACATTTTTGTATAAACTCATAAAGTTCTTCCAGCTTGGCTGAACACCGGAAACATATTTTGTGTGGAAGATCATCATTTTCAGCTACCTGTAAATAAAAGTATTACCATAATTAATATTTATTTATAAATAATATTTTAAATTTAAATATTATAAAATAAATCTAATATATAAAATTCTCGTGTTAGAAGTTGAACTCCTCCGAAACAGCTCGACCGATTTTCGTGAAATTTTGTGTGCATATCAGGTAGGTCTGAGAATCGGCCAACATCTATTTTTCAGACAACTATTTTTTTTTATTTTTTTTTACAAAAAAATTTGAAATAATGTATATGGCAAAACAATGTTTGCGAGGTCAGCTAGTATGTATATAAACACAAAAGCCTTCATTCACATCTTCTTAATAAAATAAAAAAAAATGTTTAAAACAACTTAAAACAAATATATCTATATTTTTTTTTAAATTATAAAAGAAATTTAATTAATTTCATAAATTGTTGAAATTTAATTAAATAGTTAAAAGTAACTTTTCCGTATACATTTTTGAAGGGTAAATGTATCTAAACATTTTAAAAAGTTACTTAACTAATAGTATAATAAAGTAGTTTAACTTTGACATGCTTGTGTCAGTGCTTAAAGTAAAGTGCGTGAAGTTAAGCACTGTACAGTGAAGTTCCTTCCTTCCTATCAAAGATTAAATATGAGATTAAATAGCTCATGTTTAACCTTTGATATGCCACACTCTCGTCATCATCATAATCAACAGCCTTTAATAATCCACTGCTGGACACAAGTCTCTTCTTAGAAAGGAGCTCATATTTAACCTTTGATATGAAACACTGTATTTGGTATGTACTTTTGTATCTACTACTACTACTTTTGTATTTACTTTTTGTGTATGTAATAGGTGTTTTTTCCTAGCCTGTAATAGTTTACAGGCTAAGAAAAAACACCTATTACATACACAAAAGTATACAGAAGATGCAGAAATTATGATTACAACCACTGACATAACAAATAAAGTAATTAGTTTTAATTTTATTAATAAAATCATGAATAACATTGACCCTAAATGATATTTAGTATTTATCGTCATCATTCTGTTTATATTAAAGCTCTTGTGGTAAGAATAAACACAAGGTTGACCTACTACAATATGTCTGTACCATATGAAGAGTAAATTAATTAGTTGGAGGGATTGTAGCCGGTTGTCGTAAAGTTAATATACTTTTAAAATAATCAGAATCTTACACTAAAAGGCATCAGATCCTCTATCTTCTTCGCCGTTAATCTATCAGCTTCGAAAATGTTTAAGAAGGGTCCATCTTTACTTTCGCAGAGCCGACAAACTTTCAAGAATACTGGTATTAATGGTGGAGTTGCGGCGCTATACGCAGCTGCTATGACATCGTTAGTTATATTATCAATAACAGGAACTGGCTTAGCTACTTGTTTGCTCTTAGTTTTAGCCTTTTTCTTAGCCATTTTGATTCACAACTAATGTTTTTATCAGTAAATTTGTTATTTTGAAAGAGAAAAGTATCACTAAATGTCGGTTAATTTAAAGTTGTAGCACATTTATTCAAGAAACATACATTTTTTATATGTTAAAGCAATCGATAGAACATTCATCACTTTTATTTACTAGTTTTGAATGAATTAAGAACAACATGGCTGGCTGGCCGAATGAGCTGTCATTGTTCCTCAGAACCATAGAGCATCGAGAACAATTTACTTCAATTTGGCCATAGAGCAACACGCCATCATAGAAATGTAACTAGAGTAGGAAAGGTAGCAGCAGTAACTGTTGAAGTTATAGGATCTTTTATAATAGAAAATACACATGGAACTTTTCAATAATCCAATAATGTCGAAGTATTTTTACAGAGTGTCAGAAACAAAAAAACCTAGTAACCTGACAATAGAAGAATAGGCCACACTCTCAAAGAGGAACTTTACAAAGCACCATAGAGTTTCTATTTCAACATCTTCTCTCTTTGTCAAATTCAGCCAGTGTTTTCTCTTCTCTCTTCCTTACGAAGAGGCATGGATCTGCTTCACTCTTCTTAAATCCAACTTTCACTAGAAAGTCTTGCATGCAATTATTCCAGCATCTAGGGGCTTGTTTAAGTCCATAAAGGCTCCTCGTTAACTTGCATACTAAGTTTGGTTGATCGTTATACCCTTATGGTGATCTCATGAAAATCTCCTCTCTAAGACTTCCGTATAAGAAAGCGGTGGATACATCGAATTGCATCAAATGCATATTTTCTCGTGCAGCCACACTTAGGATAGTCCTAATCGTACTCATTTTCGCTACAGGGCTGAAGGTTTCGAAATAGTCCACACCCTTCTTTTGAGAATACCCATTTATCACCAGTCGCGCTTTATAACGTTCTATGCTTCCATCTGGATTTGTCTTTACTTTGTAAATCCATTTACATGGTATAGCCTTTCTTCCCTTAGGTAAAGGTACCATTTCCCAAGTTTCGTTTTCTTTCAACGACTTCATTTCATCATCCATAGCTATTTTCCACTTTTCTTTATCTTTGGATTTCATAGCTTCTCTGAATGATTGAGGTTCTTTTACATCACTCAACTCTGCAACTGTCATCATCACAAAATCATCAAATTTTTGAGGTGCTCTCAACGTTGAACGATCTCTTAGTCTCATACCTTGCTATTCCTCTGGTTCTGCATTTGGATCCTTCTCTATTTCTACCTCTTGCTGCAACTCTGGTAAGACTTCTTCATTTTCAACCTCACTTTCTATATGTTCAGAGCCACAATCTTCGAATCTTTCATCATCACTGGGCTCTTCTCCATCATTAACTCGATCAGCTGTATCTGGTTTTACAAGTTTAACTATCGCTTCTGGGATTTCTATTTTACCGATAAGACCTTTCTGGACATTTGGTTCTTGAATACTCTCCTTCGTCTCATCCTTAGACTTCAAAGGCTTTTCTTCAAACGTTACATCTCTGGATCGAACTATTTTGTTCTTCTCTTTAACCCAAATTCTATAACCCTCGGCATTATCATAACCGACCAGCACACCTTTTATAGCTTTCTTGTCCAGCTTCTTTCTCGTTATTTTAGGAACGTGTGCATAGCAAATACTACCAATTACTCTCAAATGCTTAATCCTGGGCTTCTTGTTGTACCAGATCTCGTACGGTGACTTGTCTAGTGGAGTAGGGCCCTTTCTATTCAGTATGTACACTGCGGTATCCACTAACTCAGCCCATAGACTTTCAGGTAAGTCATTTGCATGCATCATCGTTCTCATTGCTTCCACAGCGGTTCTATTATCTCTTTCTACGCATCCGTTTTGGTTTGGCGTGTGTGGCATTGTCAATCTTTGCTTTATGCCATACGACTCCAATATTCTTCTCACATTTCCGTTATCAAATTCTCCTCCATTATCACTAAATAGCTCTCTTACTGTATTTCCTGCAGTCTTTGCTTCAGCTAACATCACTTCAAGCTTCTTATGAACTTCTGATTTCTCTCTCAGAAAGTAGATATAGCGGAATTTGCTGAAATCATCTTTGAAGAGTACAAAATACTTGTATTTGGATAAAGAGTTGGTGAACGGCCCGCATACATCTACATGTATTAGCTCTCCTGGTTCAGAAGCTCTTTCTCTTGTTCCAAATTTCAACTTATGTGCCTTACCATATACACAACCCTCACATAGTTCTTTGTCTAGCTTCATCTTAATGCCAAGTTCTCTCTCAATCACCTTCTTCACATGTGATTTGCTCTGATGAGCCAACCTCTCGTGGTAAAGCTGCAACTGATCCTCTTTTAAAATGTTGTTGACTTCATTTGGACACTCAGATCTGATATTTCTGACTTTCAGCTTAAAAAGACCTCCATCTTTTTCTCTTTCTCCAATGAGTAACACTTTTCCATGCTGTAACAGTTTGCATTCTTCGGTTGTAGACATGAAAAGGCTGTTTGACATCTTATCTTGAGCTGACAGTACTGAAAATAGGTTTTTCTGTATTGTAGGCACATACCATACATCATAAAGTGCTATCTGTTCATTACGACCCTTTACATCAGTTTCTATGTATACAATTCCTTTCCCAACTGCCTTGATTGTATCTCCATTAGCTGTCGTAACGGTGTGTGAAGTGTGAAACCTCTCAAATGTCTGGAATAGATCCTCCCTGTTCGTGACGTGGCTTGTAGCTCCGTTGTCCACATACCAGTGATCTTTATCAGCAGAATCATTTGGATTCACTGCCATAATATGCATATTCACACTCATAGTAGGTCCTTTTGACTTAGATGTTAATGGTTTTGGCTTAGGTGGTCGTCCATCGGATATCCATTTAGAGCATCCTCTTATTCTGTGACCGACCATGCCACAATAGTGACATTTGTCTGTGCTCGCTTCCACCTTCCTCTTCTCATAATTCTTACTTACTTTACTCTTCTTATTTGTCGTAACTTTGCTGTCTCTCACTACTAGTGCTTCTATCTTCTCTTCATACTTACTCGATAAAGCTCTTTCGTGGTTACTTAACTGAGTTGTTAGATTTTCTACAATCCTGTCTTCTTTTGACATCATCATCCAGCTTGACTTAAACGAGAAGTACTCTTCAGGTAAAGTATCCAGTATCTTACAAATTAGGAATAGTTCTGGCAGCTCTTCTTTCAGGTGTTCCTTCTGGAGTTCCCTGGTAAGTTCTGACCAGATATTTTTCAATTTGCTGACATGTGCTGACACGTCACCACCAGATTGCATCTTATAACTAAAGAACTTCATGCATATGTCGTAGGCTTTGCTTTCTGATATACCATCATACAGGCGATGTAATTCCAGCCATACATCTCTTGCAGTAGAATACCTCAAGACTTTTTCGCAGTTTTCTTGTGACAAATTCTTTGAGATGAGTAGCAAGGCTGCGCTATCCGCTGACACATACTTTTGCTCTTGTTCTTCATACTTTTTTACATCTGCAGCTGTTGCATCCACTTTTAGTTTCTCGGGCGGCACTAGCTTGCCCTCAACTACATCTTGGATCTTCAAACCTCGCAGCGCATCATTATTTTGAATTTCCATGTTGCCCAGTTCGATTCATCAAGTGCTCCTACGTGAATCTTCGCTGCATCAACGATTGGATTTTGCATCTTGAGCTCTCGAACTATCAACATGTAATTTCTATCTGAATTTTATTTCCCGGAACCACGCTCTGCTACCATGTTGAAGTTATAGGATCTTTTATAATAGAAAATACACATGGAACTTTTCAATAATCTAATAATGTCAAAGTATTTTTACAGAGTGTCAGAAACAAAAAAACCTAGTAACCTGACAATAGAAGAATAGGCCACACTCTCAAAGAGGAACTTTACAAAGCACCATAGAGTTTCTATTTCAACAGTAACAGCATTAAAGAGAGAAAAAAGATTGTGCAGGTCTTGCAACTCTCTCTCCGCTCTTCACGGATTAGGTGTCAGTCCCCTACAATTTATATTATCTCAATGACGATTGCTCTTTGACAGTCAATCAGAGACAGAGATGCAAGACCCGGACAATCTTTTTTCTCTGTCTGACGCATTTCCACTTACAGGCTGACATACGGCTAACCGCCTCTAGTTATACATATATTATCTTTGTGGTAGCCATACGCAGGCGTTCCCCTCTGCCAATGTATATGTCATATACGTATAATAAAATTATTACAATTTTCTCATTTTTAAACTTAAAATTTACGAAAATAACAGTTGTCTTGTTTTGGATTTATTTACAGGCCGCTCGCTCTCATACAATATTCGGATCAGTCACTCGAACGATCCGAGTGTCGTGTTGCTAATCGCTATTACCGAACGATAGTGTTGTTACCGGTTTGTCAATAGTTAGATATCGATAAAATATAAATACAACCATGTCTCTCGTGCATATTATTATTTGAGAGATTAAGTTTTCTGATATAATTATATGGATTGTGAGTTTTATTTTAATATAGTTTAATATTAAAATTGCGTCCAATCAAATATAACACAATATTTACGATTATTAACACATTATATTAAAATTGTTTTTTTATATTTATTGCAGGTTTCCTAAAGATTCGAGTTTAAAGGCTAAAAGGAAGAACTTTTGTAATAACAGATACCTTACCTGGATACCTACAAGAAACGGTGTCATTTGCTCAGATGATTCGCCCGATTCAGGGTCTTGCCCTTGACTTTTTAGTGTTGGCGAACAACGGAAAAATGGAACACTCTTAATGAAAAAAACCAACCCCCGGAAATGTATTCGACACTTTTTTTTTATATTTCACACATCTCAAACACGGCCGTCTGATCCCAAACTATGCAGCGCCTGTACTATGGTAACCAGACTGCTGATAAACATACTTATATATTTTTAAATAGATTCATATTATAGATAAATTACACCCAGACACAGAACAAATGACCGTGCTCATCACACAATATCTGTCCTGGGTAGGAATTAAAACCACGACCTCCGGCTTAGCAATCAGGGTAATTAACCACAAGACGAATAGGCCCATACACACATGGTTTTTGTTAACCCCAAGTCCCACTCGTCTTGAAGAACTGTCAGACAGAAAAGTTTATGGTAGTTTATACAGTATATTTATGTATCTATTATGCACTTGCGACAGGTATATCCTAATGCTATAGGTAACTTATTACAAAAAACACTATTTTATTCAAGTATTAAGTTAGTGTCTTGTGAAATATAAGTAGTAATGTAATATTGTCTTTCTGAACTCACTTAATGTCTTAGTGTGCAGCCTAATAAGTTAATGTTTGTAGATACGAGGCAAAGGTGCACAACGTACCTACTTAATATAATTATTTTAAGATCAATTACATGATTTTCAACAAGGAACAACTTTACAGCAGAAAATAACATGAAATAGGGAATTTTTAATCTATATTGTATTATCATACTCACTTTTCTAATTTACGCTAGCAACATTTCGATAGCCCATTCCGCCATCTTGAATTTAGTATTGTGCCAGTCGGGGGGGCGGTGACATATTTTACCCGTCATCGTCGTAATTTTGTGAATTTGTTGGAAAAAAGCGAAAAAGTGTTGATATACCGTGTAAATAGTTTATGTCAGGACTGAACGTGAGGATGGCGGGTCAGACTATTAATGATAGGCTCTTAGCAGCCCGTCACAGCATTGCCGGGCAGGGATTAGCCAAATCGGTTTGCAAAGCCACAACTGAAGAAATGATAGCACCCAAAAAGAAACATTTAGATTGTAAGTACTATTATTATAAATGTATACATTAGAATGTTAGCCTCGTCACACAGAAGTTTTTTTTTTTCGCTCGATAATCTTGACGTCGCCACAGTGACTTGGCCAGTGGTCGATAACATTTCTATCTTATTGGTTCTTAAATGTGACGTTCGCACTCAAGTTTATGAAATTAATTTTGTCGTTAAACAGTTATAAGGCAATGTTGATAGAATGAAATGAAAAAGGAGATCGTCAGTACGTTGAATCTCACGATTATTGCTTGACACACATATATAAAGTTATGTCATGTAGAACTGGATAATAAGTATATAAAAAAGAAGTCTACCCACCTATGTATTGATTTTATATAATATCCAATCTAACTGGTTTTTATCAGTTTTATCAAGATTTTTAACTAGACTAACATGGTTTTTTTCAACAATATATTAGCTAACAAGCTATGAATTAATTATTCTTGTTAATTTGGTATAACAGTTCAAAGAAAATTAATTCCTGTTACAAGAGAACTGTTATGTTGTTGAATTTCTGTAGGTAATCCTTATCTTACTAGTTTAATTTCTATTTTATATGAAAAATGTACAGTAATCCTTAAAAAAAAATCATCAATTGTTGTGAAAGTCAGATAAATAATAAAGAGAGGGCATGACTGATTATATTATCTGTGCTGTATTAACTTTTATGATTAACAAACATAAAAGTAAGACATTTGCTTACTACCTTGATAAAATAAAAAGAAGCAAGATTCAAAAGTAATTGACTATAAACAGCAATATTTATTAGTTCAATTGCACTGATTAAAAATGAGATAGATATAGATGATATTCCACTGTTGCTAGTACACTTAACCATTCACCGTTATCATCTTCATCATCAACAGCCTTTACTAGTCCACTGTTGGACATAGCTCTCCTTAGAATGGAGGTTTTTGTCTTACGTACCACACTAGCCACATGGGTTGGTATAAGGTCTGTTTCAAGTTTTCCTTCTCTTTGCAGGGCTGTTGTGCTGCGTTGTTTGCCTACTTAGTCGGCTCTTATGACACCATTTGCTATATCGTAAACATTTAGAAAAAAAAATACACATATTTAAAAAAGTTCAGCTTATAAACTAATTAAATTAATTTATGTCAATAAATTGACAACATTAATTCTCTTGTTTTACATCACGTCAACAGCCTTTAACAGTCTACTACGGGACATAGGCCTCTCCTTAGAAAGGAGGTTTTGGCCTACTATTATATACATATAAATAAATATATTATACTCTTGTTTAATAAATAAAAATTCTGATTATGATTCTGATAAATGTACAAAACTTGAAACACCACAATCTCTGGGCATTTCTATTTTGAGTAAATTGAAACCCACTCAGGCACAACAGTAAATAATTGTTTTTAGCCTAAAATGTTTTAAATCTATAATTGTAAATAAAATTAATCAATTTTTTTATTTAGCTGATTTATTAGACATTACTAGGGAATAGCATTAAGGTCCTTATTTAGAAGGGTACATTTTAAATCATTCATTAGTATAAAGACTAGTTATCTTATTGGTTTTTATTCATACTCTATATGAATAAATACAATTGAAGTGTCTGTTTGTAATGTCTAGATAATAGTTTTTTTTCATGCTCACATGGTTATTTGCATGATACTTATGCCTAAAAACCGGTTCAAATTTTTTTTTGTCTGTCTGTTTGTTCCATATAATCTTTAAAACAGCTGGACCGATTTTTAAAAATATTTTAGAGTAACTAGGCTAGTTTTCCTTTCAAAAGAACACTTTCTTCTTTTTTTTTTTTTTTTTTCCGTGCGGAAATCCCCTCGGATACCACCTGTCGGTGGCATGTCGAACTCGAACCCACTAAAACCGCACGCCGTCTCGGGTACTAATAGCCGGGGAACCAGGTATACCCTAGAAAGGAAGTCCCTGGTGCCCCGACATACCTCGGGTCATCTACAGACGAGTAGACGACTTTCAGAAGAACCCTATAAATTTCAGCCTCACTATACATCTACTACTGTGTCTGCTTTAATTCATTATCAAGTATCACTTCTCTGATCGTTTTATCGATTAAATTTTGTAGAAGAATCTAGTTAATCATTTCAGCTAAGTTAAATATTTAATTTTAAACTAACTACTAGTTTATCTCAGGGCCTCAGTTCTGCTTTTAATGTTAACTACAAGCCACTGTCATTCCATTGCCACGTTATTGAGATGCCATTGAGACGCCATTGACATAGGTCATAATATCAGTAATCTAGTAACATAAATTCACTGTGTCAATAGACTGTAGATATAGTAATATAGGTCAACAATGGTGATATAAACAACATTGCCATACCTGGAAAATGAAACATATAATTTTCTTTCAAATGTAAAATGTACCATTTACCAAACTTACAAAAACATCGACGACATTTGTATCAATGATAAGGCATCAGGAGGCCATTGGTCTTACTTAGTTCAGTAGAATAGGAAAAGTGCAGAACTATTCCGACGACATTCCATCGATAGTCTATTAATACAATATTAAAATAGCAGAATTTAGACCCTGGTCCAATGCCTCAGACGTTTTTCTTTAGCCGCTTTAACGTTACTTGCCACAGTAATAGTGATTAATATCTTGTTAGCAATCAGAATACTGAAACTTATCAGTACAATTACTTTTTTGTGTAAGTGATAGCTAAAGAATAAGCTTAATGTCATTGATAAAGTTATTATCTGATAAGGTTCATATCAAGAAGGAATATAGGAATACCTGGGTCACTAAATAGTGGCAATAGTGTATTGTTAAATTTACTTAATATCATGTTGCAGATCGGATTGACCGATCTTTGCTCAGTTTTTTGTTTTGCGAAATCTAGCTAAATCGATTGATCGCCCCCCCAGGCCCCCTGCATAGTAAATTTCATGAAAATAGTTGGCGCCGTTTCCGAGATTCAGATTATATATCTACATAAATACCAGAATTGCTTGTTTAAAAGTATTAGATATAATTTGTGTTAAAACGGATGAACAAATTATTATAGAACAATTGAAAAGACGAATGACAGTTCATCTCTTGAAAGTGTTGCCTTTCATGTGTGAAACTATTATGGCATTGCCATAATGAATTATAAATACCATATATGAAAAATCATTCTGCGTAGTTATTGATACTCTATTTTTAAATAATTTCAAGAACATTTTATTACCTGATTTAATAATAATAAAAACTTTACACATCTCACTCATAGCTGTCTGATTCCAAACTAGGCAGACTTTGTGCAACCAGACCTGTGCAGCCTAGTATGTTCGATTCCCAGACCGGACTAAATATTATAGGATTTTTTAAGAGCAAAGATGGCTTAAGTTACTCCTTATATAGACAGCTACCTAGTTGTAAAATATTATCAAAATCGGTCCAGCCGTTTTGAAGATTATCCTGAACAAACAGACAGACAGTCAAAAAATACTAAACTGGTTTTTAGGCATAGGTATTGTGGTAATAATTGTGTGAGCATGAAAAAAATCTATTATTTTAACATTACAAAGATAAAAAGATAAATTGCACCCAGACACAGACAAAATGATCCTGCTCATCACACAATATAATTGTACATAACCTATAACAAAAAAAATTTCTTATATCTCCCATCACTTGAAAATTGAAACCCTATAGAATACTAATCACATTTTTCAACTATAACCTTATTCCTAAGGAAGAAGGATTGATGCATACAACCAAGTTGCAAAAGGCTAATGCTGTAATTAATTCTAGCGTTCACTATCAATAGTGAGAAACAATCTGTGACTCATCTTTTAACACCTCCGTCTAATGACAATTTGCGGTATAAAATGTTACTCAATAGGAAAATGTCATGTCTGTGATTTGAACTGGTAGCTAAAAGACCTCCCCTCTAGACTACTTCAATTGTGGATGTGCCTCGCATGTCTTCTCTGATCTGTTCCTATTAATTAAGGTCTTCTTTTTTATGATGTCCTAAAAATATTTATAAATTATTTTTCTGTCGAGTATAATGTATTAATTCTCTCAGTCCAATCAGACTCATTATTCCTGATAAAGCGGTCTAAACGTCAACGGATGTTAAGCTTATTTATACTTGACTGGTAAAACCAGAAAAATAGGCAGCAAATTATGGCTGAAATACAAAACTACTTTGGACATACAAAAATCAGGGCAATTAGTCTGTTAAATATGTATTTTATATTTAAATAAAGCAACAAGCTCAATTGATCAACAATAATGATTAATGCATTTGTTTACTAGGTCTCATTCCAAAGAGAATTGTTAAGGAAAACTTAATTGTATTTGTGTTTAGTTTTGTAGGATTTAACCTCTTTACATACTCTCCGTGTGGTGCCAGATTAAGAATACGGAGTGTCACCACCACTACTTATCCCGTAGGTGTCGTAAGAGCCGACTAAAGGAGCAAAATACGCAAGGCAACAGCACTGCAAAGAGAAGGAAAACTTAAAACAAACGCTATACCAACCCGTCTGGCCAGCGTGGTACAGTAGGCCAAAACCTCCTTTCTAAGGAGAGGCCTATGTCCAGCAGTGGACTATTAAAGGCTGATAATGTAATGATGATATCATACTTGAGATGATTCATATATGTCTATTCTTCTTTTTGGTTTCTTTAGTTCAATTAGGTAAATCCAAATCCTTATAGGATTGTCTCACAAAACTTAACAATGCCTTATCATTGAGTGGAATTTGAGTATAAATACAAAGCCAAAAGCTGTTTCTATCACCATACAGCAACAATACATTGTATCTGTCGGGATGATAATTGGCATGATTGGAGTGAAATATGATAAACAGGACAGGCCGGTTTCCTGTACAGTTATCATATCAAATTGTCGTGATGATATGTGTATAGCATCCATAACACTTGTATTCTAGATAAGTCATATTTTAATAATTATATTGAATATTTATCCCGTCTACATTTTAATCCCTTTGTTCCCAAATTTTTTATTTGAATTGTTAAAG